CACACACACACACACACACACACACACACACACACACACACACACACACGCACACACACACGCACAAACATACGCCAGGTGTGCAAGAAAGAACAGGAAAGGACAATGGTGGCATTCAACCTGCACACCTTAAACCGCTAGCCCACAGCCCCAGCCTTGTAGAAAATTGCTAGTTGGCAACTCTGAATTTTTTGTGGCTCGGGGCTACTGGACCACAATGGCTGGCGGTTCAGAAAAGCTTGGCACGCAGTGCAGCGCCTCCAGAGGTATATAAGAACACAAGCAACATACAACATGAAACACATCTACAGAAGAGAAAAGAAGATTTGTTGAATTTGTTCAAACAATACTTCATTTCCCTAGTCAGTGAATGGAGGTGATGATGAAGGACATGCATTAACAAAGCTAAAACATGCTGATAGCACAGGAGTGCAGAGAACCTACCACAATATTTAGATGTGAAAGGTTGCGCAACACAGCCACCTCCTCTTCCAATCCCCGGATGTGCTCCTAAATTGGACCAGTTCACCACAGTACGAGCTACAAGATCAGCACATAAAACTCAAGAATGATCCAGATCGGAGGATGATGGGAATTCACCTCGGTTATATTCACTGAGCTCAGATTGGGACTTTTTGAAAGCAGATTGGGATTCCATGTGACTCCAAATAGCAGACAGTTTAGGGTAGACATCGCAGAGCCAAGCGGACTTAAGAGTTTGATACGCACACTCAAATTCCAAAGCTCAGAACAATGTTGATACACAACAAAAGGTCCTTAAGGAGCTGCCATCTGCAAAAATGGAGAGCAGCGTTCAGAGCGTATACGTTTGCACGTAGCTTGCCAGTGAAAAACGAAGCAGTGCCAGTCTGCTCATTGCTGAAAAGGCCTCCGAAAAGGGAGCATTCACAGCCTCGTGCACATTATAGGGGGGAGGTGGGGAGGGGTCCGCATGTCCGCAGTTGAAGGAATGCTTGAGAAATCTGGGCCGCAGTTCAAGGAATGCTTCAGAATCAGGGAGGGTTTCAGGACACTCCACCAAAACAACACACCAAAACATACAACTGATCATAAGCACACCACTTCAGGCCATTATCACACTGTCAATTTTTATTGACAACGCCCTGAAACAATGACAACAGGGAAATATGAAAAGGCATAGAGTATGACAGGTCCACAACTCCCCTTTTCACGGCCCAATCAGGGTACCATGCATCATCTGATTTCCCAAGAGGAGCGACCCGCTATGGAGCCACCTCAGTGGCTGTTCAAGGGGAAATAAGACAGAGCAATGTTTCAGACGTTTGGCTCATCTAAGAGTCTGCAAACAAACCCAAACATAACCAAGACCCCTTATTCGTAATGCACTTGTGCACCATTGCCTTGTTCCCCATTACTCGGATTGCTGGAAATGACAGGTTACCACAGGGCAAATACAGACACTGGCATCGGCACAGAAGTTGTTGAAATGGTATGCAAATACCTGAGCTCTTTCCTTGGTTGTACTGTTGACGGCTATTAGCACCTGGAGGACCACATATGACACGTATGACACATTTCATGAGTGTGAAGTTAAAAAAACTCAACAAGGAGCTGACAACAGACATCACACGATGACTGGCATTAAATTTTAAAGCTATGATAATACAAGCACAAGGTCTTAGCTATATTCCATTTCAGGAGTTAGTTTTCAGCAAAAAACCTAGGCTGTTTTTCCGGGCGCCCAGGCACCCAAC